AAGTCGACAATCTCGACTATTTTGAAGAATAAAGATGGTTAAAAAAAAAAATACATATGGTTCAGAACGGATTAATCTTATTTACATTGAACCTTATGGGGAAATTCGCAATTCGGTTCGCGGCCAGAATCGTGGAATGAATTCAGTTCATGAACCGAGGTACCACTGTATTTGATTAGGGGAGATGAAGTAATTAAAAAAAAAAAAAAAAAAAGTAATGTATTTGTACAGTATTAAAACCAGTTCTCTAGATTTCTTAAAAAGTAAATGGCTATTTCTTAGGTATCATTTACAAGGTCATAAAAAAGAATTGTGCCATTTAATATTTTATATTTCACTAAAGTAGAAAATAATTATTTAAATGCAGTTATACAAAATCTATCCATTCATCCTTATTAGTCACAGCAACAGCAAGTCAAAGTTTTTTGATCCTCCCTTTCAAACATGATTTATTTAATTAAATACTTGCCCGTACCTATTCCCTCCAAGAGAATCTTGCAATAGTCGTGTTAATTTTGAATCTCTGTATGGTACATGAGTCACCTTCTTACTCTTATCTCCCAGTGCACTTATTACGTTGCCCAATGCCAGCTGAAAATAAAAAAATCTCAGTGGTGAAAAGAATTTCACAAACATACCTAAGCATCAATGAAATCAAAACATTATTGCCAAAAATCAGATACACAGAAATGGTAATCATGTGTGTGAGAGAGCAACACGCTTTGCACAATTCTATTTTTTTCTCTTTCACCACAATGATTCTCACTTCCAGAGAAAAAACACTTTTTAAAAAGTGGTTTGCCTATTTAGAACATTTCCTTTCAAGGCCTTTGCACCACCCCAGAATCAGCTCCAGACCTCTATGTTCTCATCCAATCACCTGTGTTAACACAAACTGCAAGAAAAATGTCTCTTTCCACGCACAACATCAAAGCTCTGCAAATTTCAGAGCAGACTATTTTTTCACGGGCAGGAAGCTATCCATCAGTTGAGTGCCTTGGTTTCAGCTGCCACTGCATTCTGTTTACAGACCTTCAAGGAAAAAGGTGGCATGGCAAATTGACAAGACCCTTCACTGAAACCACTTCAAATGTTTGGGAATGTGATCACATAAATGCCTATTATCCTCCAAAGCCACTTTAAAACTGATCTGGGCTGTTTGGACTGTCTGCAGTTCCTTACATGCAAAGCCAACTAGGCAAAGGGAACAGACTTGAATTATAGTAGTTGTTTACCCCTTATTTCTGGAAGGGGGGCAGCCAGCATGCAAAGCACCAGGGTACTTGGGGGGTTTTCCAGCTACTGTCTTATGAAAGGGGGGAGATAGCAATTAATTTTTCCTTTCTTTCCCTTTTGTATGAAGGAGGGAGGCACTAAGGATTTGGAGGGTTTTTTCTTCCATAGCATCTTCCCACTTGAAAGACAACCCTCAGCATCCTATTCCAGATCACTGTCTGCAGACATTGTTTAGAATTAGACTCTTCTTCTCCTTCACTGCTACCATGATTAGAACTGTTAAGAAAAGTCCTTGGTTGTAAAAACTGCCACTGTTGTTTTCACTAAACAAGAGATTTTTCACTACAATAGAGGAATGATAGCTTGTCTCCTTTGCAATTACTCCTTCATAGAAACTTTTTTTTAATGACTAGATATGTATCAGAGGATTTGCTAGCAATTCATCTTGTGTTTGTTTGGGTATGGAGTTGGGTGTAAGGAGATTTTTGGCATTTTTTTGGAATGGGGCACTAAGGAATGATAATTATTTCACTCTCCTCTTGGTCTGCTAAAGAGCGAGCACTCACTGGCTCATGGCATTTGCTGCCACTTCTGAGTCCCCAGATCAGCAGAAGACAAACAAGATGATCACAGTTAGCTTCAATTTGATTTGTTAGGGATCAGAGCTGTGCAGAAGTGCCCCTAGTCACAAGAAGTCATGCAAATAAAACTTCAATTGCATGCTGTTTTCTTGTATAGGAAAGGATTTCTCTGAACCTTGGCCAAGGCAATTTGACAAAAGTCACTTTTAGTTTAGAACTCTGGAGTAAATTTCAAGCTTGCAACCATAAAAACCCTCTTTTAAAAATCATTTCATGCCAGCATATTTGCTATCATGCCAGACAATTCAGAAAATCAAAAATTGAGAATGTAGCTACATAACACATACAGCAATTATATGAAGAGTCCTAAGCAGATTTGCAGTTTCACTGATTTTCACAGTCTACCTCAAAAGTGAAAAAAAAATGCTTAAGAGCCTCTAAGAGCCAGTTTGGCGTAGTGGTTAAGATGCTGGCCCAAAAACCAGGAGACTGTGAGTTTAAGTCCCGCCTTAGGCATGAAAGCCGGCTGGGTGACTTTGGGTCAGTCATTCTCTCTCAGCTCAGCTCACCTCACAGGATTGTTGTTGTGGAGAAAATAGGAGGAGGAAGGAATATTAGGTATGTTTGCTGCCTTGATTTGACCAAAATATACAAAAGGCAGGATAAAAACTTAATAATAATAAAAAGCAAATAAAAATTAGCAGATTAGTTTAACAAAAAAAGCAATGGGCTTGATCAGATACATGAAATGTTAGTCTCCAGTAGGAAGGTAAATTTAGAAGGAAATTATACTGCAAACCACCATGAAATTCCAGAGGTATAGTCTATGAAAATTACATTAAAATGTAAATCAGTATCTATAACATGGATGTATAGCGTTTGCAAAAAGCAGCAGTTACAGATATTCATTTAAAATCCCTCCCCTAGCATAACACAAATCACTTCCATGGTTCAACATTCCCAATAAAAGCATTATAATTTATGCAGAGTTGGCTCCTTAACATAGGGTTTGAAGTAAAATTTTGGGATGCTTGCAACTTTTAAATTGGAAACAAATTCCAATTTGAATTAATCTAATAAGAACAGGTATAATTTTCAGGAATGGCATTTCATGACACCACTTCTTAGTTTTATAATTTTTAGTACTGTATTTTAATTATAATTTAATTTTTGATTTGTATCTTCTTTTTAACACTTAATTTTTATAAGCCACTTAGAGTTGGGCTGGTTTCAGGTGGCTAGATAAATTTTACAAAAAAATAATGAACTAACCTTAAAATTATATATGAAACAATGCTGCTAACCCTGAGTATACACGGAAGTCAGAGAAAAATTGCTAGTTCCATTTATAGCATAATTTAAAATAAAAATGTCTAAAGAATATGCTATCACTTCTCTTTTACAAAAAACCTCTGTATCGAATAAGGGCCATCCTCTGTATTATAGATTTCTGCATCACCTTAAGTGAGTGTGATTACTGATAAGATAGCACAGGAACTTAAACTTACGAGTCCACAATTGATAGATATGCCTTCTTTTGCTCGCTCTCCAGTTGCCCCTGTACGTTTTAATCGTTCAGATCCTGCCAGATCCACAAAATGAAACTTAGCAGTAAGAGTTTCAAACTCACTGAGCTGAGATGACTCCATTATTATTCTGTTGTCTGTCATGTTGTCCTGTGAAAGCAACAGAGACAGAAACATCTATATTGTGCAAAAAAGAACCGCACTCAATTCTAGTAAAACCACTCTGCACAAAATACCAACAGAGAACATTTAAGTAAACATTACTTAATCACAGATCATTACATTAGTAATGTTTTCACGGTACTGTACAAGAAAAGGATCTAAGCTGCATTTTTAAGACAATCTAGTATTACAAATTGGAAGAGGAGCAAGACATTACATTTCTGCCTTGGCCTTCCTGGTTATGACCTTGAAGAGAATGCAAGACAAAAAGCAACTGAAAAACTGCTTGAACTATTAGGAATACCTCAAATTACCCATATGCAGGCCTAGTCAGAGACCAGGTATCTGTCTGAAAGAGCCACTAGGTCTGAGAAGGTATTTTTGTTTCCTTCCAGACAAGGGAGAGAGGAGAAATAGGACAGGTCAACGTTATATCCAGAAAGGCTGTAAGTGCCACATCAGCACATCTTTCTGAGCAGACCCAATTATATTACTTCATTCTTACTAAATTCAGCTACTGAAGTGCTGATCTATCAAAGCCCTCCCATTTCCCTGAACAGATGTAATGATGTCTTCCTCTTGGGTACCGAAGGACAAGTCAGCAAAGGTTTGACATTGGCAGCCTAGCTTTGTGCCTTGCAAAGTAATCATTTTCTCAACTGTTAAAAAGCTTTTTTAAAATCCTGTAATTATTTAGTACTGTTTTCACGGCACTGTACAAGAAAAGGATCTAAGCTACATTTTTAAGACAATCTAGTATTACAAATTGGAAGAGGAGCAAGACAGATCAACAGAGAGATCAAGATAACAGCAATTTCCCTCTGCTTCTTTCTAAAGGGGGGGGGGGGGGACCCAGGCAGCATTTGCCAATCGCAAACTAGAAAAATGAACCAATTACTTCAACCAGAGATCCAAGCTTTTATTCCTGCCATTTTGTGTAACCTTCAAGTCTTCCAAAATCTGACTGTCTTGGATTTCTCTGGCAATTTCAATTTTGAAAAATTGATATTGTCTTTATTATTGTTCTGCTTTCAGTTGGTGCTGCTTTTGCTTTTACAACTATAAACCATTCAGAAAGCATTTGCCAACTGGACAATGTATTACCTAATTAAATATTCAATCAAATTAAGCCTGACTGACTTGGTCACTAGCTCCAGTCCGTTCAGTAACACTCACATTTTGCACAAGAATCTTGAATGGCACTTAATGTTACAGTGCTAGCCTTAGCAGCATTGTGGCTAAATACTGTGTTGCTATGGTTAAAATACACCAACACATAATGAATCCCTATTTTTATATGGTTTTACATTTTTATCTGGAATAATAGTAATTCTAAATGTACAACTTCCAACAGGACAAAGAAATACAACATGCTGTGTTCTGAACTCAATGAACATACTATAGGATTTATACAGCTGAAAGATATTCCCAGTATACTGAGTTCATATAATGACCTCTGAAAGACAAAGAGATTACAAAGCACCACACGATTCTATTATTTATTAAACTTGGACGCAAATAGCAAAGATATTCCTAGAAGGAAAAAAAGACTCCACCACTCCCTTAGATACATACAGCATCAAGTGGAGGACAAACTCTAGTCTGGCATAAGTGGATAGTGAAGATGGCATGTGAACGTGAGCTCTGGACATTCATCTGTGTGCTGGCAGTAGTTCGAGATAAAGCACCCAGCTTCAAGCATTGCATCATCTGTACAAGCAGGCAGGAAAAGAGTAACTGATTAACATTTTTAAATGTATATGTACCTGTCAGAACCATTTAAGTTTAGCAATGTGGAAATGTTATAAACTCATTATTTTTTTTTCTGATTCCTTGGGAATAAAAAATATACCTTATGAGGTAAAGTGTATTCTTCCAAACAACTGATATCTGCCATAGTCTGCTTAGCAAATCTTAGAAAACTCTTTGAAATGGCTTCTGCAGAAACTGTTGTAACCAAATCACCTGCTTCCACCCCACCCCCAAACTTACAGAAAGTATGTGCCAACAGCGTGAGAAGTAATGTTAGTACAAACTTTCCTACGTTCTCAGCAGATATCTACAGAACCATAGGATTACCTATCGGGGATATATAAAGGAGAAGTTTTTCTCAGATGTATCACAGAACATATTGGATTCAGCTAAATTTCAGGAGTGCAGAAATAGTCCAGTTTCCAGTGAATAGAAGACTACCTTCTGTTGTTATGGTGACTGAAAGCATGCTAACAATGTCCCCTTGTAATGCCTCTCCTTCTGTTCCCTGTAACCATGCTCTGAATATTTAATGTAACTTCAGTAACAGTCTGAGAAACAGGGAACAAGAAAAGAGCTAAAACAAATAAGGATAAAATCTGCTACTGTTCTCAGATGCTCAGAAGAGATTATCACAGCAAGCTATCATCATATCTTACTGTATTTTGCATTCCTCCCTAGCAGTAGAAATGACAGAAACTGTAGTTTAGTACTGCTGGAGCAAAGTTGCGGAAAGCTAATTAAGGTACCCAAAACAGAAGAGAGTAGATCCTTGAAAAAAACAATATTACTATAGCTGTTTTGAGGTGCAAGCCAGTATAATGTAATGACTAAAGTGTTGGGCTAGGGCTAAAAGTTATGCAGCTCCCTTGGTGACTTAAGCCAATTATAACTTCTCATTCTAAAGTTAGTACACAAGGATAAAAATGATGACAGCAACATTGTGTGCTGCCTTAATTTCCTGGAAGGAAAAGTGAAATATACATCATTAAATATTTTGGTTGTTTTCAAGAAACAGTGTTATTTTGCAATAACACTCTTGCAATTTTGTACCTCCGCTTCTACGTTCACAGTCCGCGTTGTGACTCCCACTGTATATATTCCTCCTGCTGAATCTTCATGGATTTTGATATTTGACTTTTTGTTCTTTGAATCAATATCACGTGTTGAATCAAACAGATCAAGTATTTCTTCATTGTAAAGCTAAATTAAAAGGAAAAAAATGTTATTAAGAGTAAAAAGCTGTTCAACAGAACTCAACATGTAACTATCAAAATATAGTATTCTTGACATGCCTCCTGAGAAGTTTCATTTTGTAAACTGTAAATTGGCCTAATAGAGTTATTGCTTTTTGTATCTAACTTGAAGTAATTCAAAGTGTCAGCAAAGCCTTATTATCTCCCCAAAAGCCCTTCCAAGTTATAGAAGATTGAGAAGGATTTAGAGAAAAGCTTTGAAAATTCAATGACAGGGGTCTTGGTATCACAGTATCTAATCATCAAAATCACCTTTCACACTTTTATTTAATTTTTATTTTATGAAGAGAGACAAAAAGATAATAAAAAAACAAATAAATCCTTCATACAATTACAAAAGAAGGTCACTAGAGGAAAACAATACTGTTAAAACTTTGGAGGGTGCTCTCAAGTCAGTGTTGACTCCTGGCAACTGCCCGGACAAGTCCTTGCAGTTTTCTTGGCACAATTTCGAAAGTGGTTTGCCATTGCCTCCTTCCTAGGGCTGAGAGAGTGTGACTGGCCCAAGGTCATCCAGCTGGCTTCATGCCTAAGGCAGGACTAGAACTCATGGTCTCCTGGTTTCTAGTCTGGTGCCTTAACCACTACCACAAACTGGCTGTCATGGTAGACATAGAAATATTAATAAAAATGCTTATGGGTAAGAGGGCAGAAGAGTCTAATTAAGTTATTCAACTCTCTCACCTAGATGTATTTTTCTCAGATATTAGCCCAAGGTTACAAATTCTGTTCAACACCTCTCTATGGGAAATGAGGCAGGAATCATTTCCATTATTAGTTTTATGTACTCAGCAAATATTTATATCCACCCACTATTCTCAGAAGTACAATTTAATGCAGTTTTGTTCTAGACTTTTGGAGACTGGGAATATCAGTTTAATTTTGAATCTGTTCATTTTTGATCTTTTAAGTTTTAGGTTCAATATTGTAATAAGCAATCAACCTTTTTACTGCTTGTTTAAAAATGGTCACTGCTGTTTAGAGGAAGTAATAAAATCAGAAAAACACTTAGACAAACCAAAATAATTGGCAGTTTTTATTGGCAGATTAGACATTCATATATTCATGAATAATCTAAACACTGGAAATTTGGTATGCTGAGTGTTTTATTCTAGGACTTTCTCTTTGTTCAACCTATCCTTAGTTCCTGGAAATAAAGACTTGTATCATCCAAGATGTCATATAAAACTAGCAGCTATATTTGACAATCTATTTAGTGGTATGAATTAAATATATTTTTGTTTAGTATAGTTTTTTTGCACCATCTTTTTTATTTAAAAATCTCACTTATTTTTAATCTTTCGGTTAATTCCATGACGCTGAAAATGAATGGGATTTTTTCTAAAAATATTTATTTATGTTTACTTGATAAGGATGAACAGCCCATTTTTTCTATGGTTTTAAATATTTCCAATATACTGTATAAAAATTACTAGACATTATGATAGAATGTCTAGATTCCAAACATTACTCTAACAATAATTAGAAACAAATTTTCAATTATCAACTGCAAAATATTTAAAAATCCAAATATGCAAAAATCCATAAAAAAATAAAATATTTTTATTTTGCTTGTAGCCTACCAGTTTTTCTACAAAATATATAGCAACAATTTAAGTCTCAAAACATTTATAAATCAAAATCAAAGTCAAAAGGCCTATTCATTAATCTGTGTATTTGCATGCCTTTACATTTCCCTAGACAAATATTAGCCAGAAAGCTTCAACCCAATGCTTTTAGTTAAGAGCGTCAGGTATACACTAATATACCCAACTATTATTCAATTAGATTGATATGTACTTGTCAATCTTAACTACAGGTAACTGCATTAAAGTTCTCTGTGGGTTTTTTTTTTCCAAGAGCTATATATGTATTAGACCCAATTACTACTTTGACAAAAAAAAAAGTAAGAATCCTATGTCAGAAGCTATATAAGTTTAGGCAACTATACTTTGAACATTCTGCATATCAATTCTGAACCCTATATTTAGAAGCATTTAAAAAGGAAACACCCTTAAAAATTGCATATGCAAGACAAAACAAACTCCGCTGTCTATATTCTATTTCTTTGGCTTATAATGACAGAGGGCACATTTTATTGATCAATACTAAAAACTATTTTCTTGGCTTTAAATTATGTTTTACTAATCTTCTGTGCTTTATTGGAATGGGAAGTTTGGACACTGTACAGTCTGTGTTTACAACACTACAAGTTTAGAATGTTCCATGAGGCAGAGGTTTCCCATATGAACTAAAATTTCAATGTCCTTCCTATTTCCTAAAATAAATAAAAGTATTAGTCTAATTTATTTCCTACAGTCAAGGCAACAGGGAGCTCTGTGATAATGATTACAAAGCAAACATTTACTTCAAAATTGTACACACTATAAGCAAATACTCAAATATCTATACTATTACGAAGGCTTACCTCTAAGAACTGAGCATTCACTTTAAATTCTGGAGGAGGAAGCCCTTGTTTAATAGCTGCATGCTTTTTTTCTTCAATACACTTATACAGGTGTTTTACAGCTCGTGGTATAATGCCCTGTTCGTCTTCCATTATATTAACATCAAATCCAGTGCCCATTGTATAGGTTTTACCAGCTCCTGTCTAAATTGAAAAGACTAATCATAACCATGCAATAAAAATGTAATTGTGTTTAATAACTAAGAATATAAATGCTATTAAAAATCCTGTTTTTTTAAAAAAAGTTTTACTATAGCAACTTACAGCTGATATATTTCCTAAATATGTGAAGTCTGAGAAACTTTTATTTTTTTTAAGATGGCAGAAATACAAACTAAATAGTTATGGATTTCCCAGGAGCAAAAAAAATGACAGAAATCCCAAAGGTTTTTCCCAATCTTGTTTTCCCTAATGACGTTACACTATAACTCCACCACTACCAGCATTCAAAATTAAGGAACAATAGAAATAATAAGACAAAAGCACCTAGATATACATGATTAGGAAAGGCTGGATAAGTTATAACACTATTAGATAAAACAAAATTCATTTATTGATAGCCACAAAACATCTTTGCCAGTGACAACCCACTTCAGTCTAATTGGCTGCAGATTCCACTCCTTATAACTGAAGCTTATGGAGAAGAGCACTAAACTTGACTGACTGATGTTTATCGAGCTCAATTCCAAGCAAAATTGAAAAAAGTATTTTATAAAGCCCTGTAATTCCCAAAAGGAGCAGATATCAAAAACGTAATTGGCCACTAGAAATAATATGTTCTTATGTCTTCACTGGAGTCTTCTCCTTTCTGCGACTTCCTCTCCCAAAGTGAAGTATTTTCATACAGAGGAAGAAAGCAGAAAGCAAAAGGTGAGGTCAACTCTATTTTCAGGAGGATCTACATACAAGTAGATTGTGAACATACCAGATTGGAGCCATTCTAATTCAAACAGTGGAGCTTGCATAGTTGAATATATCACTTTCAAAATAATTGCCTCAATCCTGCTCATTGGTGCAATACTATTTAATTATCCATGTATATTTCTGTAAACCTTGTTAATTTCTTACACACTGAAATCTATTATTCTCACCTCTAGCAAAATCTGATCTGTGTTTGAATGAATCCAAATTTTCCCTTTTTTAATGCAGAAAACAATTCATCAGAAAAGATGCACAATGCTTACCTGACCATAAGCAAATACAGTAGCATTATATCCTTCAAAGCAGCCTTCAATCAATTTTTCTATGCACTGTAAGTAGATTTCCTCTTGCTGGGATTCAATATCAAACACATAATCAAAAGTGAAGGCCTTATCTTTTCCTAGGAACACCTGAGGTTCACTAGGTGTGACCAATGTGCAGATATGGCATCCTTCAATCTTCTCTTTGGCTAACTGAGGTCTGATTCTGTTTTTTCAGAGGAAAGATAAAAAAAAAATACATTTGCATTAAAGCACAGAAGAAAGCCCTTTTACAAGTTTGCCAAGAAGTTAAAAAGTTGGACTTGGTAGGAAAAGCATGAATATTTGCTGCTTCTTTGCAGCAAGTAACAAGCATTGTTTAAGGTGACTCTCCACTGGTTTATCAAAATATGGTATTCAAGGTCACTATTCCTGAGACAGATGCATTCTGTCATATTATAAGAAATCTATAATGAAATAAGCTTGTCTTGAAAGATTTTATATTGCTAATAGTAGTTTAACTATAAAAATAATTTTTAATTACGCATGTGCACATAAGTGGTTTCAATAAAAAATATCTCAGGACGGTGTAATTTTTGAAGATACTAAATATGAACTGAAAGCATTATTTCATTTCACTAGCCATTTTTTGGCTAAAATCTGTTTTTTCTTCTGGGACATTCCAAATCAGTAATTGCATTTTGCAGGGAGGACCAAAATAAATCAGTGCTATGTTATGTTAAGCACGCTGGCAGTCATTCTGATCTTTATGTAAATCTTGTTTAAAAAGCAACAAAATGCTTATTAAGGAGTCTAAGATATCTTCTGTGTCAAGCAACACTGAAACTCCATTCATTCTCATTAAAATTCTACTTGCAATGTTCTGGTACCATACATGCAGATGGTACAGCTGTACGGTGTGAATCATCATTTACTGTGTGTGTCTGGTAGCAAATGACCAAATTTTAATCTTTGAGATTTTACAAATTATTTCTGAATCATGAATTAGATATTTGAAACTTCTGGAAGTATTCCTACATGTAATAGTAAAAAAACTGTAAATATACTAGAGTTGTCTACCCTAATGTAACTTGAACAAAGCCAGGTGATTGAAAGTTACAAACTTCTCGATCGCAAAAAAAAAAAATCTTACACTGCCCTACAGGACAGACCAAAGAATAGTTTAAGTGAATTTATAATCTTATTGACAATTAATCCCTTTTAGGATGACTCACGCAAAGCAGAGGTTTGCACATGTCCCAAACATAACCTACAATACATGATGAAACTGGAAAAAGCATTTATGTCAATTCTTAGGGAACAATTACTTAAAATCATAAAACACACTCTGACAACTTGTTCACTAGAAAAACAAATTTAAATTATGGAAATCAACCTTGCCAATAGAAACTTGAGTGTAATCTTAAACAGCAAATGATATTTGATTTGTACAGTATATGATTTACTGTACAAATCTCTTCTGCAAAACATGAGTCATGATTTATACTAGCAGTAACTTGGGAGTGAGTGTTTTCTAAAAAAAACTGTTCTAAGAAAAATCCCATATCCTATTACATGGCTACATATTTGGTGTGGTAGACACTAGTCATGTTGACAACAAAGTGGTGCTTCTGGAAGCAGAAGCTGTCTTTATTACACTCCTGCCATCAGGCCCAAGGTAAATATATGCTGACTTCTGACATCCCTCCAATGCTTAGAATAACAACTTATTCTGGCTATGAACAGCTACCACCACATTTAAGAACTCAATTTCAGGAGAAGCATCAGAAACTTAAGTATTACTTCTAATACTTTTTTTATTTATACAAGTTGTTGCTCACTTTTCATCATTAAAAATGATCCCAAAGTTTAATTCCTAGACATTTAATTTCTTTCAAAAAGCAAAAATGACAGAAACCAACTACCACTCTATACACTCACGGATAAGCTGAGAATTTTAGGTGCCAAAATATACCCAAAAAATTGGGTTTAGCTTATCCACGAGTATATATGGTACTAAATAATGAGATGCTAAATCTGGAAGAATCAATATTTAAAGACAAACATTTCTAGGTAGAAATGTCAAGGGCCAAATTATTTGAAACTTTAACTTAAAAAACCAAAATTCCTGGTGGAAATAAAAAGTGTGTATTTCAAGGATCAAAGAATAGGGAGTTTACAAATCAGAGCAGTGAATTTACAAACACATGTTCTTAAATGCTAATACATTTCTGGTCACTTTTTCCATTTTTTCGTTTAAAGCACTGCAGTCAACCTCCATAAACATTCCTCCATTAGTCAAGACTCTTACAAGTATTTGAGCATTCTCTCTTCATGTTCCTTCTGCATCAACAAAACACAAGATTTTCATTTGTACCTGAGTTATTATTGCTGAGCTCCACTTACAGCTCCTAACAATCATTATTTAACTAATTATATATGTTATGTCTATATCTTTTATTTATAATAAATGCACTCAAAATAAATGATCAGTCTTAAAGCTAGGTTCTCTGGATATCAAAAGTCTGAGTAATTAAGTACATCTCATAAATAGTACAGGTAAAAAAAGGAAAAAGAAAAAACCCACAAAATATTAACATATAAATTTAGGGATGATTTTTCAATTTAAGTGTTGTTGGAAGTATTTCGGATTCTTATCATTTGTATTTGGCTGAATTCAAAAACAACCAGATCTGTTCTTTCTCCTGTCTTCTGCATTCTTAAAAAACCTGCTCTTCCAAGAATATAAGATAGCCTATGGGAAGGACAACACCCAATGTTATATGAAATGTGTAACATTTTTAATCCAGCCAGCTGCACACATCTGTAAGACTGCACTGTATACACTGTGCACTGTGTTCCACTGTGTAGAAAGAGGAAGCCTGTATGTTACAATCCCACAAACACAGTATGGTGGTTAAGGTGCTGGACTAGAAATGGGAGACCTGGGTTCAAGTTTTCTCTTAGGCATGGAAGCCAGCTGAGCAGCTTTGACCAGTCATTTTCTCTTCCCTACAACAGGAAGTCAAAAACCATCTATCTAGCAACCTGCACTGGTCCACTGTGGTAGATTACAGTAGGACCTTCAATGAAGCAGCTTCATCCTTCAGTGGGCTGATTTATTTATTTGGGCTGATTATATATAAAATGATAAAACGGTCTGACTAGTTCACAGTAAAACCATTAATTCCAGTAATTTAACCAATTCTTAGGTCATCTGTTATACTATACAACTGTGATCTATTTAAGGGACTAAATTAAGAAAATGAAAACCTGTAATTCAACTGGCAATTAAGAGACAAATAATTTATCAAATTTGACAATGTAATTTAATTAAGAGAAAAATATGGCTGTGGAATAATTGGATTGGTCTGGCAACAGTCCACTTATGTTACTCTGATGGCTTTAGCTTAACAAGATTTATTTTCTTTACTTATCTTTTTCTGGACCTCTAATTGGGATAGGCTTTTCTACTCATTAATTGAATTCATAAGGTTCATATTTATTCTACTGCACCAGGGTTCTCAGGATGATTATTTCCCTTCTACAGTTTGAGTTCATTTTCTTGGATTTCTGATCTTCATCACTAGGCAGTTGCTAACATTAATTGAAAAATAGTGAAGCCGTGCTTTTCTATTGTTGTTTCCCAAGCAACCCCTTGACCATTTTGTCCCAGTCCACCAGTCAGCTCAATACAGATGGCATCCACTTAAGCCTGACAAGGTCTTTTGTTTGCTTGCCAGCCAAAAAACAAAGGAATGGGAAACTATGTAGCTTGACTTTCAACTAAATGGATCTCTTTTTCCAAAAAGGGACCAACATTTTGTTGGAAACCGCAAAACATATTACATTCAAAACTTATTTAGTATTTCTAGCTGAACATATTTAACTTTAATGTACTATTTAGTGTCATTTTTTTCAATGGCTATGACATTATGTTTTGATATACTGTCATAATAAATTTATTATGCCACAGAGACAATAGACAAAACGTTTTTATTCAAGGAAATGAACTTC